CTTTCTTGGTTTTCCCCTTCTTCTTCCCTGGTAAGTCCCTCTACAAAGCGTAAAACTTGGCATTGCAACTATGTAATAGTTTCTCTCATGATCACCATAAAGATCTTCTGATAGCACAAGTCTAGGTGGTTTAGAGCATGTCTGTATGCCCAATGACTTTGCCTCAAGATCAAATGCTTCTCCAGGTCCTAGAGAACCGGTGCTTTTTTCTGATATACAGATTAGGTTAGAAGTTTGTTCGGATCAATGGTTTCTGCAGTAATTTGAAATTTCAATTGCACGGAACAATGTACACAATATCATAACAAATATATAGGCATTACTCAACAAAATGTAAAAATAGAACAAATTTTTTGACACATTGAAATTCGTGTCCTACATTTAATTCTCTCCGTCTAATTTTACAATACGACATCTACCACCCTTCAATGCACCCTGCATTCACGGTGCAGAGGATCTGAATCCGTTCATACTACTTGCATGTCAAACATGGTTCCCTGTCGCGTCGTGGCATCGTGGTCTCGGTTGTTCCATATCAGCCACGGCATATCGATTGAATATCGGGGGATACGTATATTTTGGTACATAAAAGTTTTCAAAAAATCTGAAAAAATAAAATACCAACAATTTGAAAAAATATCCAAATCGACTCCGAGTCGACTCAGTATGACGGATTCAAATCGGCCAATATCAGCCGAGTCAGAGCGAGTTACCGCAGGTATGGTAATATTTGCGATTCGGAGATCGGTATCGTACCGATTCCCTCTGTTCCTGTTACGACTCGGCCGATACTTATTGGTATCGGCTGATATTGCTAACCATGATGTCAAATAACCTCCAGGATTCATTTTACCTATGGTGAAAGCTTATTGTTCTAGGTGAAATCAGCTAACTCCCCCTAAAAATTCCAAGTAGATTTACTACTTCATGGATTACCACCAAAACGGAAGCAACAAAACGGAGCGAATTATCTCTCAAAACTTCTAGGTTGACGCAGTACTCGAAGTTGTTCATTTAAGTCTCTGGTACTTAAAATTGAAAAGCTGTTTATATCGTCCATTGAAAGGAGCAAACACAGAAGGATGAAGACTTTTGCAAGTGTATATCAAGTGTTAAAAACTTGTTTATTTCTGTTTTATCAACTAAAAAATCCTGGTAATTTGCTCTCAATCACTCACCACCAATCCAAGATCAACATGGATAGCTCAGCGAGGTTGGATTAACGCAATACATCAAGTTCTCAATCTGCAGATATGTAAAAGAAAAAATGTCACCAAAATCCTTCGTGTGCTCTCTGTTCGGAATAAAGAATTAGACATCTCAGTATTTAGCACAGAATGGGTGGTGTGCTATGCCCAAGATAGCTCTAGCTGGTTGCTACCATCATTCTATATTTTTGTCTGCTAAATGTGTCACTTTCCTTAATAGTGTAAGACACACCCCACCCTACCCTCGTCGTGAAATGCCATGTACGACAATCTGTTGTGCTTGCAAGCGGCATTTTGTCCCCAAGAACTTGGGATATTCATAGTGTGAAACCCATCCAAATGTGTGAATGGATTAAGTAGATGTGAATGGCAGAATTCGGCGGTGTTAAGCAGAAAATATATGAAATTAAGTTGCAAGAAAGCCAAGCCTATCACAAGCTTATCTTCATCAAAACCTTGGGCAATTGACTTCACATATATTTCTTTGACACCTCATCTTGAAAAGAAGGTCGATAAGCTGGTAACAAAGAAGAAGAAAAAGTCTTGAACGAAAAGACTGATTGGCATCCTATTCAATTGCTCCAAATTTTTCTGCAAAATTAAGAAAGACTCAACCATGTCATTCATTCGTCCCCTAGTAGGTGGAGTAAACTTAAGGAGAATTGAGAAAGAGGGAAAACTGCGGTTCGATTTCGTGTGGGTTTTATTTCTTCTCTACTCTCTCCCACTCCCTCGGCCTTTTTTACACTTGGCTGCTCTCATTGTTGAAAAAATCTTTATTTCTTAAATATGTTGAAATAATTTTTTGTTTTGTTTTGGGTTTGGCCCCAAATTGCAAAATTCGTCTAATTTTGGTGTAGTAATAAAAAAGTCAATTGTCACTAATTTGCGGTTTCTTCTAAATCCCTCAACATGTAGTAACTTCTTTGATCATTTACTCTCATTAATTATTAATTAATTGTAGTTTTTTTTTAAATTCAGCTAATGCACTGACTGATATCACGATGGTTCAGTTCCTATCGATCCTAAGATTCAATTAGATCTGACCCATTCCTCCTTAGCCGATGTATGACAGGAAAAAATAAAATAAAATGTTGATAGTTGTCAGAGGGGGCATCATATTTTTATTGTTTTCTAATAATATGCAAATTAAATGATGAGTAACGAACAAGTCAAACATGGTCTTATGGTCTTATTGTTTTTTTTTTTTTTTTAAAGAAAGACCATTTGAATAAAATAAGGAAAGTCAAAGGTAGATTGGCTGTAATTCGGGTCGCAGCTCACCTGTCCGTCGGCCTGTAACGCCAAACGCTCATGTCTTCATTCATTAGCATTTATAGATTCGACACGTTTTGCTTTTATGTGATCCCCCAAAAAAATAAAATAAAAATGTTTGCATTTATTTTCCCAAATTGCCACTCCAATTCTTCCCAAAACACGCAACCGGCCATTTGCTTCCCATGCATAATTATTAGTGCATGGAGAGAAAGCCAACCAATTAAATATCAGCAAGTAATTCTTGTGATGTAAAATCTTAGAATAACACATATTTATGAGGGACACATGGCCTTTTTATCCACTTCTTGGATTTAGCACATTTTATTTTATTTTATTTCCCAAATTGATCTCCATTGTTAAAAAAAATGTTTCCTCTGCTTTAAAATTACACAAACATATTCAAGTACTTAATGCATGATTAATTAAGTAGTCTAAGTACATAAAAAGAAACCCGAGGTCGACTAATTAACAACTTTCTTGATATTTCAACACCAAATATACTGTATACCTAGGTGTCTCTTGTATTGAGGGGTCATCTTTCGGCGATGGACGTGTTATAAATATGAAAATAATAGTTATCCAAAATCACTTGGACTGCTATTAGTATTAATTAGGAGGGTTATCTCATTATTTCTGCAACTATTATGACAAGTTGATAATCCACAGGCTATCCCATTTTTATTCAAAACAAAAAGGTTATAACCCACTTCGTCTTTCCTTTTCCATAATTTATTTGTGAATTTGCAGTCTTAATATGGACGGATGGACATGGTATAAAGTATGACAACACTAGTTATCTATATCACTAAGACCGCTATCTGTTAGGAGGATTATCTCATTAATTATGGAACTAAGACAGGTTGATACTAACCCACGATCGACACCTATCTTCGTCTTTCCTTTTCCAAATTTTATTTCAAATTTGCAATCTTAGAGTTTATTTGAATTGTTATTTTCCAGAGTTTTTTGTGTACGGTAACGATTTGTTGTATGTGATGTTAAGATTATTAAAATAAAAAATTTATAGAGAAAAATTACAATCCAATCAAGGCCTTAGTATGGACAGATTCCTGAGTTCATCTAGTTGCACGACTTTATCATAAGCTCATATATCTGCTTAACTTTTATTTAAAACAAGTTTTGCAGCACTCTTCATTCTAAGGACAAACTATACAGGAGAAAAGCATCTAATTCACAGACCAATGTATTACTACACGAATATGCTACTAGCACAGCTCATGCTTGGGATTTTGGTGGCAAAAATATCCAAAAGTTACTATTGATGGCATATAATAGTATCTTTGAAAATTAATTAACTTGAAAAAAATACAGTATTTTTTTCAAGTCTAAATTTATTTGTTGTGCTTGTATGTAATGTATTCATGGAAGGACGTTATCATAATTATCAAACGAATGTAACTAGGTTTATCGTTATTTCATACTCCCTTTGCCCTATTTTATACGTCTTGATTTTTATATCAATTTGTTCCATAATACTTGTAATGGTTTAAAGATGAAATGAGTAAAACCCAATTTTCCTATTGTGGTCTCTAATAAATGATGTGACAAACCCTCTTGTATTTTAGTAGCCATACCTTGTTTTTGGGGCCGTGTCATAAGTTATACCCTTTTTTTTAATTTAATTAAAGGGCAATTATGAGAAGAGTTGCTTGGATGGATTTTTTTTGGGATAAAATTATCCTTTTCTTAAACAATTAAAAAAATTTGACCATGACATATAAGATGAAACGTTGAAGTATGTTTTAGTAATTTGCAAGAATGAAAACAAATAGCATCTAATAAGAATTTAGCTTAACCTATAAGTTAATTCAAAAGTCAAGTCAAAATATATATCTTCTCATACACTTCAAGTTCAAGCCCTAAGTGAAAAGAAATCCACTAAAGAGTAAAGACCATGCAAGTGTACGTCGGCAATGATTATGCATGAGTAGTTCAATTTTACTTTTGTAGATCAACCAACATGACTAAAATAAATGCAAATCGTTTTCAATTTAATTAAATCCAAACGTAATTAATGATCTCAATTCTCAAACCAACCCGTTTTCTTCCAACAATTTGAAAAATAAATACAGGATTAAATCTTTATCTACACTAGCAATTTTAAATTTACGTCACGTATGCAGAAGTTAAATTTCAAATTTAAATTTATATTATGTAACATAATATAAATCTGTTAGTATTAAAAAAAATTATCCATAAATAAAAGCTGTGAAAACTCTGAGAATGCTTCAAGTTGGATACATCACGCGCCACGTGGGTGCAGTATAAACCTCAAGGTGGCAAATTAGAAATTAGTTGGGCAAACGTTGGTTCAACAACAAAATGGACAGGGGAAGAAAAAGAAGGAAAAAGACTAAAAAATACAATACAGTTTTACACGAAATCCTGCTATTTTCCTGTCTGGCAAATTCAATGCCTACGCGCCATCACAATTAAAAGTTCGTTGGGGTAGTTGCACTCCTTCACCTCCCTTTCCCCTTTAAATCCCTCTCTTTCCCTACCTTTCCAAAGCATCCAAAGTTTCATTCTTCTCCAAAAGTTTCTTCTTGATTCAATCTTTCGAGTATTTCCTTCAATCCATCTTTCAAACTTTAGTTTTGCTAGCTGGGTGTACCACATTTTGGCCAAATTAGTAGCTGGGATTTGTCCAGTTATTCTTGATATATAGTAACTTGGAAGTTAGGCTGCAATGGGGGATGAAAATAAGGTGAACCAAGAAACAGGGAGAATTTCAGTTGAGGGTGAGAATAGGAGGAAAAATAATAATAATCTTCCTAATTTTCTCTTATCTGTTAGGCTCAAATATGTAAAACTCGGTTACCATTATTTAATCTCCCATGCTATGTACCTGATGTTAATTCCTCTTCTAGGGGTTGTTTCAGTTCATCTTTCGACCGTTACGGTTGAGGATTTGGTCCTACTATGGGAGCAGTTGAGATTCAATCTTGTATCTGTGATTTTGTGTTCTGCTCTCATGGTGTTCCTAGGTACTCTCTACTTCATGACTAGGCCTAGGAAAGTTTATTTGGTTGATTTTGCATGTTACAAGCCAGGAACTGAAGTTATGTGTCCTAAAGAACTTTTTATGGAGAGATCAAAACAAGCTGGGAATTTCAGCGAAGAGAACTTGGCATTTCAGAAGAAGATTTTGGAGAGGTCTGGCTTAGGCGAGAAGACATATTTCCCTGAAGCTCTCTTGCAACTTCCAGCTAATCCTTGCATGGCTGAGGCTAGGAAGGAGGCTGAGATGGTTATGTTTGGTGCCATTGATCAACTATTGGCTAAGACTGGAGTGAAGGCCAAGGATATTGGGATTCTTGTGGTGAATTGCAGTTTGTTTTGTCCAACACCATCTCTTTCTGCCATGATTGTCAACCATTACAAGCTTAGAGGCAATATTTTGAGCTATAATCTTGGAGGCATGGGTTGCAGTGCTGGACTTATCTCAATAGACCTTGCCAAGCAACTTCTACAGGTAAGCTGCCAAATTCACACTTTTTGAAATTAAAAGTTTCTTGCCCCCCACGGTTTGCTCGGGCGGTCCTTGTAGCTCCATTGAGTGAGAAGGGCCTGGGTTCGATTCCGAGCTCGGGCAGCCGGGGTAAATTCCTGATGATTCGGTGGGGCCCGCTCTCTCAGGCGCAGTGGGATTAGTTGGGGTTAACGGCGGTGTCAGGTATCCAGTCCCAGACCGCTACCCCCAGATACCCCTGTGTTGACAAAAAAAAAAAAAAAAAAAAAAAAGAAATTAAAAGTTTCTTGGTTTGCTTGGCCATCATGTTAGTAATGTGATGTCCTTGTCTCTAGCTGGAAGTTTGCTGTGGGAGAGAGAGAGATTGTTGGAGTAGACATAAATATTTGGTCCATGGTCAGATGTCAGTTGTCACATGCATTTTAGCCAAACTTGGCACCACTAGTCCCAAGCTTCCAACCAAAAACAGTGCATCGCAATAATGAGATTCTGATCACAGTTACACTTGTAGATTGGAATAAATGCTAGTCTGGCTTTCTTGTTCTAGAACTGTGATTTGGTCTTTCTAGGTTTAGACAAATCAAAATTGTTGGATTATTTAGAACCAGGCATCCTATCATAATTAAGGCCAAAGTTAACGTATGTTTGCTAAAGCTTAGCTTAAGTCTCTTATAAACAAACATTTTTAGGACTTCTATTTATGGTGAGGTTAACTTATCTACTTTTTTGTCAACGTGACAGGTTCAACCAAATTCGTATGCCCTGGTGGTGAGCATGGAGAACATTACCCTTAATTGGTACTTTGGTAATAACAGATCAATGCTGGTCTCAAATTGCATCTTTCGCATGGGAGGAGCTGCAATTTTGTTATCAAACAAATCGTCTGATCGTAGGAGATCCAAATATCAGCTAATTCACACAGTTCGTACCCACAAGGGTGCTGATGACAGAAGCTACGGTTGTGTGTTCCAAGAAGAGGATGAAAACAAGAAAGTAGGAGTAGCATTGTCCAAAGATCTCATGGCTGTAGCTGGAGAGGCCTTGAAAACAAACATCACAACACTCGGGCCATTAGTTCTTCCCATGTCCGAACAGCTCCTGTTTTTTATTACCCTAGTTGGGCGAAAAGTTTTTAACATGAAAATCAAGCCGTATATTCCAGATTTCAAGCTTGCATTCGACCATTTTTGCATTCATGCTGGAGGAAGGGCTGTGTTGGATGAGCTAGAGAAGAATCTTGATCTCAGTGAGTGGCATATGGAGCCTTCAAGAATGACACTTTATAGATTTGGCAACACTTCTAGTAGCTCATTGTGGTATGAACTGGCTTATACTGAATCTAAGGGGAGGATCAGAAGGGGAGATAGGACATGGCAGATTGCATTTGGCTCAGGATTCAAATGCAATAGTGCTGTTTGGCGCGCATTGAGGACCATTGATCCAGCCAAAGAGAAGAATCCTTGGATGGATGAAATTAATGAATTTCCTGTACATGTGCCTAGAGTAGCTACCATTGCCTCTTGAATCTAAACATTTTTCATTCTTTTGTGGGAAAAAAAAAATCATTGTAACGTCTTTTTTACTACTACGATTTAGAAGGAGAGATTGGTGTTTGGTATTCAATGTAGAGCTCATATTTCTCAAAAAAAAAAAAAAAATGTAGAGGTCATAAGAAAGGCAACTACTGTCCTATGTGTTGTTCACATCAAACATAAGATGGCTGAAATTAATATTTGTCCTATATAAGGTCCCAACATTTGTCGCATTATATTCCATGAAAACCGCTGATGTCTTTAATACTGATCTAGTGTTGCAGTGGGTAATGTTTTCAAATAAGCCATATGAAGGTATCCAATGCAAGACAGAAAAAAATATTCGTACGATAGGGAAGCAATCTCAGCAATAGTAGTAATTCATAATAAAAGAAATGCCACATTTCATGTTCTTAAAGGCAGTAGTTTAAATCGTCCATTTTTTTTAGGGCATCCATTTCTTGCACCAAAAAAAGAACTCTTATGGTCAAATTTTATAAGTGGCAAATAGCAGTTACCATTAGCTACTTTATCTTTCTTGAAGATGATAAGGGATGCAAAGAGAAAGAGACGCTGTCATAAGCGGGTGGTCATCCAACCTTACTTTGGAGTAGTACAACTTAAGTCCGTTTTGGTAAGAAATTTTACCCTGCTGAATATGTAACGCATTGAATATAGAAGGTGGAAAATGGAAAACCAAAATATGAACTCAAGGTGCATATTGGTCTCACAGCAAGAACTCATGTAATATACTAGTATTTGTCGAGCCATCTTAAAGTTCAGTTGACTTGGTAAGAGCATTGGCCTGGATACTAAACGTATCATCGTTAAATTCTCGTCCCTGTACATACAAAGCAAATTTACATTAAAATTTTGAAGCTAGTTTGAACTCTCATGCAAAAATAAAAAGAAAGATATGTTTGAATTCCCGTTATTGATGTGAAAGTTATGTTAGTGAGCGATCTGTAAGAAGTCTTATAAACAGCGACCTATGATTCTGGGGATATGTTTTGACTCGTGATGATAATCGGAGTCGAATCTCCCAGGACTCAAATTTTTTACTCAAATTTTTTATATAAAAAAAAAAAAGGAAACGAACCTCCTAGGACTTAGGGCCTGTTTGGCACCATAGTTTTTTACCAAGTTTTTTAGCTACTAGTTTTTTAACAACTTTTGCTACAGGAACCCCAAAAAACTTTTCAAAGTTTTTACCTACACACTTAAAAAATCTATTCTCAAAAACTTTTCTTCCTCCCTCACCCAACCCACCACACCAGACACGGCCTCCACCACCTCTCCCGGCGCCGCTGGTAACCTCAAAAAAAAATTTTGAATTTTTGAGTCCCTCACCCTCAAAAATTTATTATATATATATATTATATATTTATAATATTATATATTTATTTATTTATTTAAACATATTATAAATATTTTATTTTATTTTAAATATATTTTTATATATTTATATAAATTAACATTAATATAAATATGTAATTATACATTTATATAAATATTATATATTATATATTTAATATATATAATAAATATTATATATATTACACATTTATGTATATATATTTATGTATATTTATATACAATTATATTATGTATTATGTATAATATAATACATTTATACATAATATTAACACACAATATTAATTATACATTTATACACAATACTAATACATTTATATATTTATATTAATTATATTAATACATTTATACATAATATTATATATTTATATATTTATAATATATTCATTTATATATTTATATAATATTCATTTATAATAATATACAATTATTACATTTGTAAATATATTTATATTATGTATTATATATAATATAATACATTTATATATTTTTATATACCCATATAAATATATTTATTTATAAATGTATTATAAATGCATAAATATATATAAATATTTAAACAATAAAATTATAAATTATAAACAATATTAATTATACATTTATACATAATATTAATACATTTATATATTTATATTAATTATATTAATACAGTTATACATAATCATCATATATATTTATAAATTATAATTTATACATTTATATAATATTTATTTATAATATATACATTTATATTAATTATACATTTATAAATATATGTATATTATGTATTATATATAATATAATAAATTTATATATTTTTATATAAATATATAAATATATTTATTTATAAATATTTGTAAATGTATTATAAATGCATAAATGCATATAAATATTTAAACAATATAAATTATAAATTATAAACAATATTAATTATATATCTATACATAATATTAATACATTTATACATTTATATTAATTATATTAATACATTTATACATAATCATCATATACATTTATACATTTATATAATATTCATTTATAATTTATACATTTATATTAATTATACATTTATACATTTATAAATATATGTATATTACGTATTATATATAATATAATACATTTATATATATTTATATATTTATTTCTAAATTTTTATAAATGTATTATAAATGCATAAATGTTTAAAAATATAAAAATTATAAATTATTAAATACTCAAAAATATGTTTTAAAAATACCTCTAAAAATAATCCAAAAAACGTCTACAGTAACATTTTAAAAACTTCTACAAAAAAGTTTTTCACCTTACAAAAACTTCTACAAAATTTTTTTAAAAACTTCTACAGTGCACTACAGTAAAGTTTTAGACAAACTCCCAAAAAACTCAGGTTCCAAACAGGCCTTTAATTTGCAGACACATAGGTGTAGCTTGATTACGTTATATTTCATGAAATTCAAGACACATGGCATGAGTAATAAATAAAGCAACCAGAAACCGATGGGTTCTAATTTTGGTAGTTTTGGAGAATTGAAACGTCGGTCAAACACTCAAACTGGCCAAGTTGGGAGTTAAGATCCCCACTTCTTCATCAAATCCAAATGTACAACAAAAGCCAAGTTGCGTAATCTGTTCAAGAAAGCAAGACGCATTCAATTTGAACAAGTCTACTATTGATAAATACTCAACAAGATCAGTGGAACCAGCTGTTTTTCAGCAAAGCAGCAAGCAACTGAGAGAATCTACCAGATACTGGAGTAAAGTATAGCTGAAAACAGTCCCCCAAATCAATGAAAGGGGCCCTTCATAGCAGACATATGAGACGACTTGAACCCCTCAGAAAACCATCAAGCAAACGTTACATGTCTAGCAAAATTTAGCTGGAAGACGCTAACTGATTCATGCAAACTGGCTGTCCTTCGAAAAAGGCATTGTGAGCTCACCCAAGATTTATTGTTCATGTATTGTCTCTTCTCTGCTGCAATATTAAATAGCAAATATTTCAGAAGCTGGATTTTTTGTTTCAATAATGATATGTATCACTAGTTTTCTCATAATTGGTATATCATTTCCTACATGACATACAATGCTACATAGTAATGTTTTTTTTTCATATTTTAATTTTGAAAAAAATTTGAATTTGAGAAAATGCCAAGAATTATTGAGTTTCCTTATGCACACACAGAAAATGTTTGGAACGGAGTATACTTTCATTGTTTACATTCTTTCTTCATGTCTTTTTTTTTTTCTTTGAAACTGAAAGAGGAATTGTGAATTTGAATCCAAAACTTTTAAGTACTATCTATTCCTTTGATTCTCTCTACCTTTCCACTTTCTTCCATTAGCAACTTCAACTACTGATTCTGCAAGTGCATATTTTTGCCAAAAAAAAATTGAAATTAATGAGGGTAATCCATAGCTCACTTGATGGTTTGGGATATTATTACTAGGTGGGATAAGTCCAAATCCTTTTCATGCGTGTTAAAGTCCAACTAACACCTATTTATCAAGCGCATCAAGTGATTGAGTCGGTTAACGTCAAAGAAATTGTTTTCTTTGTATGCGATGATGATAAGGAAATCTGCTTCATTTTTGTTGGCCAAATTGAGGCTCCAAGCTCTTTAATACTGATGAATTTAAAGCTAGCTCCAACCTAATTTTTGTTCTCAGTTTTGCTTTCTCTCCTATGAAAAGTACATGTGAAATAAAAAATGCAGAAAAAGATTAGATGGAAAGAATTACCATTGAATAGACTAACACCCACCCATGTTTTTATCATAGTTTTTTGCACTTTCGTAAATTATATTGGTCTCCCACAAGATTCATATTTTATGCGTACACATCATATATATGAGTGCTGATAAGAACTTTTGATCACTATAACTTTTTTTTTTTTGCCCTTTTATGCAGCAGCCAACAAGATTAAGATTTAGGCAAATTCGTGATTTTAATTTTAGATAATCAGTTTTTAGGTGTTGCTACGCTTTTGGTAAAAAAGTACTTTTAGATGTTAAAAGCACTTTTAATAAAAGTTCAAATTTGGCACTTTTAGAATAGTTTTAACATTAAATTTAATCCTATATTATGAACTTAATAAAAATAAATACATTTAAAAAAATTAAAATTATATATTATTCAATATAATAAGTTGGTTCTGTTTGGATTCCTCGATTTTTTAAAAACAAATTTTTTATATACAATGTTACAATAATACACAAACAAAAAAAAACTCTAAAAACATCACATCCATACAATATATCAAAAACAATTCCAAATGTACAAAAAAAATTAAACCACCACCCATCACTCTCCACCACCACCGCCATCACCTTACCGCCACCACACTCACACCCACACCCACGACCCTCCCTCCTCTCTCATCTCTTTCTCTCTGTCCCCCATCTTTCCTCCCTTCCTTCTTCCTTGCTCCCTTCTCCCTTCTCCCTTCCCTTTCCCGGCCCCCAATCCCCCATCCCCTCCACTGACCGCAACCTTCTCAATCATGACCAAATCTGATCGCGACCAGAAGGTTGCGGCCAAAAGCCACGACTTATGGCTTCTACTTGCTACCTTTCTGGTAGCGATCAAGAAGGTCATAATTAGAGTGGTGGCTAGAGTTGCAATCGCCACCCGTGAGTGGGAGAAGGGTTTGGGGTTAGGGGAAAGGAGGGGACAAGGGAGAAGGGAGAGAAAAGAGAGAGAAGGAGGAGGATGAGGAGGAGGAAAGAGAGGGGAGGAGGAGAGGAAGAGAGAGGAAGGAGGGAAGAGGAGGAGGGAGAGGGTGGTGGTGGCGGGTGGTGTATAATGTTTTAAAAATACCCCAAAAAATTGTAAATTATAAAAATACCCTAAAATATATTTTAAAAATCTCTAAAAATACTTCTAAAAACAATTCAAAAAATATTTACAGTAAAAGTTTTTCATATACACAACTGTAGTAAAGTTTTTGAAAAACACTCCAAAAAAAACTAATCCAAAGAGATCCGTACTTATTCAATTATATATCCAAATAATATATTAAATATTTAATAAATACTTTTATTAAAAACTCTATCAAATGAAGTTTTTTTCAATAAACTAAGCTACCACAACCCCAAATGGATCCATAGTTTAAAAAAAATCAAAGTTGGGCCCGTAGCTAAACTATTTGGGTCACTTTTATTACGAGTTTTCATTCTGAGGCCATCGTTTTCGATTCGTCTTTTGCAAATAGTCCATTGGCTCATCTGAAATCCATTTTTCTTCCTAACGCCCAAAAAAAAAAGAGGAAAAAGAGCTACATCTACGACCACATGGGTGTTGCATTCAACGTAACTTTCAGATCTGAAACAGACAACGTGAAGTTTGGAAGCAGACCAGAAGAAATTGAAGGCGGCCAAATATGGCGGTTAATATTTAAGCTAGCTCCGATAACGACTTGTTTGTGGGGATTAGGTGCCTCACAAGATGAGTGCCATCCAAGTGGAATCGGTTCATATAATTCTTCTTATATTTAGTATAAATTTATATAATTTTGCATAATCGTCAACTAATTTGTATCAGTTGATAAATTCAAATTTATACCCGACCTATATAAATTTATACTTTTTCAAAAAATAAAAAAAGTTTGTATAATACTTAGTTGTATGAGTTGATAATTTTAAATTTACACTCAAATTATATAAATTTATGCCAGAAGTTGTAAGAATTACACAAATTCAACTTGAAATGGACAAAATTCAATTTGTAGACCATATTATCAATATTTAGTCATGTCATATGTCTTCAAGGCCCAACTCGGACGAGTGAAAATATTAAGTAAGGGTGAGGTCTTGGTTCGACCTTCAAACTATTCCCTTTTCTGTCCTCTCTTGCTAGATTTGGAGCATCCTTTGAAGAAATACATATATAATATGCTATATTACAACATGATACTTGGTTTTTCTTGTGTTGAACTCATATCTAATATTTTTTTCTTAATCTATGACTAACTGTAATTTTTTTTTGTCAGAATGATATCGATTTGTTTCACACTATTTTTCAAAAACATATTTTTGAAAAACTTTAACCAAATTTTATAACCACCCTTTTATTTCATATATCTATTGATGGGTAATTAAAAATGCTATGGTAAAATGTTTTAAGAACCACCTGAAAGCACAGCCATCCAAACGGAGTTACAGTGAGAATGCATGCATGCATGCCTACGTCTTAGTGGTTTGTGCTGAGTATGAACGGAGCTGAACAATGCATAATCTCAGCTAGAAATTAATGTGATGAACTTCTAATTGGGGTTTGGGAGCTAGGAACAATAAGCCTTTTACAGCTTATAAAATCGATTCCAACTTCCTACAATGGGATTATTGTAAAACTTAATTGTTTGTACCATATCAAAGGCAACAGAACTTATCATTGTCCATGAAAATAGGTCACAAAAGTTATAAAACTGCATTGAAACTATAACATATATTGGTACATATTTAGTTACTGAAAGGCGAAATTCTAGCACCTTGGACGTAAAATACTGAAAAACCTTTCAAGCACTAATTAATTGTTGCCACCCGAGAAACTTGAACAGGAAAGTCATCAATTTCATCTGTCCAAGGATTCTTTTCTTTAGCTGGATCAATTGTCTTCAATGCACGCCAAACGGCACTGTTACATTTGAATCCTGAGCCAAATGCAATCTGCCATGTCCTATCCCCCTTTCTGATCCTCCCCTTGGACTCAGAATAAGCCAGTTCATACCACAATGAACTGCTAGATGTGTTGCCAAACCTGTAAAGTGTCATTCTTGATGGCTCCATATCCCATTCAGTAAGACTTAGATTCTTCTCGAGTTCATCTAAAACTGCTCTCCCCCCTGCATGAATGCAAAAATGCTCGAATGCAAGTTTAAAATCTGGAATATATGGCTTGATTTTCATGTTCAAAACCTTTCTTGCGACTAAGGTAACAAAAAACAGAATTTGCTCAGACAAAGGAAGAACTAATGGCCCCAGTGTCGTAATATTTGTCTTCAAGGCATCTCCAGCAACAGCCATAAGATCTTTAGACAAGGCTACTCCTACATTCATGTTTTCATCTTCTTCTTGCATCACACAACAATAGCTTTTGTCATCTGCACCCCTGTGGATACGTATAGAGTGAATCAATTGATATTTTGAACGACGGCTATCAGATGAGTTGTTTGACAGCAGAATTGCTGCCCCTCCAAGTCGGAAGAGGCAATTGGTAACCAGCATTGGTTTGTGGTTCCCCGTGTAGCCACTGAGGCTCAAATTTTCCATGCTCACCACTAGGGCATATGAGTTTGGATGCACCTGTTGCATTTTTTGAAAATGAACAATCATCCTACTGAAACTCCATAAAAACTAATTGATAAAAGCCGAGATCTTTGGTCCAAGGTTAATTTGTATCTACAAAATTATGATTTTCAACTTACCTGCAAAAGTTGCTTGGCAAAATCTATTGAGATAACTCCAGCACTGCAGCCCATGCCTCCAAGGTTGTAGCTCAGGATGTTGCCTCTAAGCTTGTAATGGTTGACAATCATAGCAGAAAGAGATGGTGTTGGACAAAACAAGCTGCAGTTCACCACAAGAATCCCAATATCTTTAGCCTTGACTCCAGTCTTTGCCAAGAGTTGATCAATAGCACCAAACATCACCATTTCAGCTTCCTTCCTCGCATCGGCCATGCATGGATTTGGTGGAATTTTGAAGAATGATTCTGGTAAATATGTCTTCTGGCCCAACCCTGACCTTTCAAAAATTTTCTTCACAAAGGTCAAAGTTTCTGCACTAAATATACCATATTGCTTTGCATGCTCTATGAAAATCTCTCTAGATACCAAAAGTTCAGGTCCAGGCTTGTAACATGCAAAATCAACCAGGTAAACTTTCCTAGGCCTAGTCATGAAATAAAGAGTACATAGGAAAACCATAAGGGTTGAGCACAAAACTACTGACACTAGATTCAACCTAAGCTGCTCCCATAACAGTACTAAATCAATGACCGAAACAGTCGAAAGATGAACTGAAAGAACTCCCAATAGAGGGATTAACATTAGGTACAGAGCATTGGAGATCAAATAATGGTAGCCAAGCTTCACATATTTAAGCCTAATGGATGACAGAAAATTGGGAAGCTCATTGTTTTCCTTTTCATCAGCTAAAGGCTCGACCGAAACATTTCCTGTTTCGGATTTCAAGACCCTCTTTTGATCCTCCCCCATTTTTGCAGAAAATCAAGAAGGAAACTGTACTGAATTGCCTAGGATGTGGGATACTAGAAGAACTGCAAAAGTGGTTGAAATCTATGTAGAGGGATGTCCTGAAAGGTGGAGGGAACGCGAGTATTTAAAGGGACGAGAGGCAAGAAGGTGTACCCAAATTCTTGAAAAAGGGTCCACACAAAGAATTGGAAATAAGTCTTTGAACAAATTGTGCAAATACTCATTGTCACGCACAAAACGTAAAAACAGGAGGACAATATTGTTGCGTATAACTTGCAGCATAGACATTGTTGTATAAGTAAAACATATTGTAAACTTTGTCAACTCCATCATACTTTTGTCTAACTGAAACAGATACCAAATCAGCTAGCTGCCAACTAAAAATTAATCCAACCTTTATCGATCAACATAGGATAGGAGATTCAAATGCATGACAGCTAGTTGGATGCAGTGATGAAAAAAGTTTATTGGAAAGAATTTGTTGGGTAATTAATGGGATGATATATGTTTAATTACTTCCTTTTTTTAGCTTTTTGTAATGCTAACATATAATTTGCACAATTGGAAACAACGAAGGGTTGAATTTTGAAAGATAAGTAAGCACTAAGCAAGTGGTCTAATAACTTTACGAATTAGTATCTAGCTTTTCAACTGAAGAAATGGTAGAACTTGCATGAATTACATCAAGCGCTAATTACTAGTTGTTAAGACCCCAATTTTGGCCATGATAAATATGCATGATAATCGGTTGAGTAAGTAACATACAAGTAAAAACGGAGAAAACGTTTAGGGGTATTAATATATGTAATTATCTCTATCAATTAGGGATTTCTAGAGATTGATTAGAGACTAACAGAACCAAATAGGGATTCATTAGCTTTGGTTTCCACTAATTTGTAGTTTTGTACACCTTCCTTGCTTGTTTTTCAAACTTATGAGTAAGGGCTTTGTAATATAGTACGAAGGGTTCGTCCATTAATATTTGGTCTCATAAGGGTACACAATAAAAATCGCGAAAGCTAAATTAGCCACAAAAACTTTTGCTATAATTTAAAGGTGTGGGGTGATAATTTTAAACTGTAATACTGAGCCTACCTTTATTTTTTTTGGTGTACAAAAACCTTGCAAGTACATAAATAAATTCTTAATTTTTCATTTCCGAGTTTCTCTAACATGGTACCGGATCAACTTTTCTGTTCTAGCTCTTTTCACTAATTGATGGATACAATTATTAACCGATATAGGTAAAAACACATATCGACAGGTAGTCTACTTAGCCTAAGAGTAATGTAAGCTGGTTGGCAAATATTCGTCTAAAGTAATAAATGAGAAAAATGCTAAGGCAGCAGAGATTAATTGTTGAACTTCTAAGTAAGTTGTTGCGCAAAAAAAAAAAAAGGGGCGCAGATTTCATTCTTTTTTCGAACGATAATCAAATATTAAAGAACAAAAACCACATACGTTTGCAACATAGAATGTTTGTAATAATTGGCGGACGCAAAAGGTGGGATGTATTGAAATGATTTCCTTAACAATTGGCAATTATTGCAATGCAAAGGAAATCCATAGCTAAGATATCTGTGCTTGTTTTCGTGCAGGGATGCAAACGAGACGAGTTTAATTGAGTAACTTGTGAGTTTGTCGGTTAAAATCCAACATCAAACTCTCATTGACGGAGTTCAAACTACTTAACGAGTCGAATTCAAACTTAATATGTGAAACTCGAAAGCTCGTCGAACTTAATCAAACTCAATCGAACTTCACATATATATGTTTTTTTAAATTTTTTTATTTATTAGTATGAAATATCTATTTTGTCCCTTATTTAAAGTTATATAAAATATAAATTTATATTTCTTAATCTTGATTAGGCTCGATAAGCATAAGTTGAAATTCAAACTCGAGTAATGCAAAATAAAATCGAATTTGAGCTTGAACTTAACTTTGAAGAGTTCGAACTCGAGTTCGAATCCAAATTTTTTAATTCAAATCGAACTCAAGTAGAGTCGACTTGATTACACACGCGCGATTACACCCCTAGTTTCATGGAATTGTCAAATTTTTAAAAAAAAACAAAATAAGACTTATCAGAAATATATATTACATTCTGAACATGCAGTAGCAGGATTAAAATTCGTTCATAGTCCTAAGAATGGCATTATAACAAAAGAAATTGATGATTTGGGAAACATCCTGCATGTTGTTGCCTGTGTATAGATAATGGCGGGACAGTGCTGTATATTTTATTGAGGCAGAAAAAACAGTGTGCCCCTGATTACACGGTAGATTAGACTTTTACCGAATCTGTAGATCTAAAATTCTCTTTAGGATTGTACTAGTGTTTAGTCGATCTGACTATCTACCTATCGGAAGACATGCTGATGGAAGATATCCTTGTTGGTTTAATATTAGGGCAAATTATCCAATTGGCCCTTTAACTCTTTGTCTAAGTAAAATTAAGCCCCTCATCTATTTTTTGCTGACTTTAAGCCCTTGAACTTGTAAAATGGGAAATCCGTGGCCCTTTTAGCCAGTTTCTCCGGTTTTGCAACCGGAGGACCAATTCACACGAACCCCAGTGTGCTTCTTTCAAGGGCATTTTTGTCCGGCGCAATAGACAGCGGAGCTGCACCCAACCCTCTGGGTAGTTTTCCACACGACGTTAAGGTAATGCCCGCACTCGCATTCATCAGTTTCGAACGGACATTTGCACTGATTGGTTGTGTGGTCGAAGAATCGCTGCTCTCTGAACCATTTTTGCACCACGGATGCAGGAGTAAACTCCTTGTACTGCATCCAGAAAATGTTCTCCCCCAGATGGTTCATGGGAGAGGAATGACTCCTGTAGTTGCAGTCGGTCTGGCGCTCCAACGCCCAAAAATGGGCGGCCAATGTGAGGTTAGGATCCCATTGCAGTGGGGGCATTCCCAAAATCCGCCTCAGATCATTGTGAGCGGTGACATATTCTTGCTGCTCCAGGATGGGTAACGTTTGCCGGGAACGGTCCCACGTGCCTCTTTCTCAGTTTATGTCTTGGGGTGGAATGAAACACCCGGGCCTGGGCGGCGGAAAGGATGATTCCATGAACCAAGGTTATCAAGAGCAAGGCAGCAAGAATTTTGGGTCTTGACATTTGCAATTGATGATATCTCTAGTTTTATGTCTTGGGGGAAATTTCTTGATTGAGACCCTGATATTTGTTGCCTTGAGAAATCTCTCAGGCCGTCCCCCGTGACGCGAGAGCAAACGCGAAAACAAGGAGGAATAATTAAACGGACTTCCCAAAAACTACTGAATTGGGTAAAGAAAAAGGGGTCCAGATGAGACATCAGACAAAGGGGTCCAACCCTGTCTTTATCCACAACCAAACCAATATCCTCAAAGATGCAAGCTTGGACTCGTTAAAGACATCAGAAACCAAACCAACTCCAATAATCGATTTGAGGATGTTGTCATGGACGGAGACGATGTCGGCGCCTTCTTGGCCGCGGTGCTGGACCGCGTGGAGGGCTAAATAGCACAGGCGAGAAGCTTCGGGGTCATCATAGATGCCCACCACGCCTCACTCCTCTCTGGGTTTGTCGTCATAATCGTCGGAGACGACGCCGGAGATATGATTCTTGGAAGCGGCCGAGACACCGGTCCAGTGGACTTTGCGGGTGTGGGTGACGGGTTGGCAGGGTTTTAGGAGGGTTTTTGAGAAGGAAGAGCAGAAGGGCTTGTCATGAGGAGGGGTTGTAAGCGGAGAGAGCTTCTGGGAGGCCGCGGTGACCGCAGGTACTGCAGTGGCGACAGAGATGACCATGGGATTGCGTGGGGGTTGCGCAGGGAAGAGCAAGGGAGGTGAGGGAAATCAAATAGAAAGGTGGACTATGTGTGCCCTTTTTGCTTAGAATATGAGGACAAAAATGCCCTTGAAAGAAGCACACTGGCGTTCGTGTGAATTGGTCCTCCGGTTGCAAAACCGGAGAAACTGGCTAAAAGGGCCACGGATTTCCCATTTTACAAGTTCAAGGGCTTAAAGTCAGCAAAAAATAGATGAGGGGCTTAATTTTACCTAGACAAAGAGTTAAAGGGCCAATTGGATAATTTGCCCTTAATATTATGATCAAAATTTATGATTTTTTTAAGCCATTGTATCATTTGTTTTTCATATCTATTTGGATCCATGTCATTTTTTTTTTAAGAAAATGGAGCAAAATGGTTATTTACATGTCATGTTTGATGAACTTGTTGCCATTAATGCAAATATTGAAATGAAATTATCCTTTTTTATTTTATGTATATGTGTGTGTGTGTGTCTATATATATATATATTAGACTGATGAAACCATGAAATTAATTAAGTACAATTTTTTTCTCTTTTCATACCAATGACAATAATTCTAACTTAACCTTTTCGGAAAATACAGGATTTTGTAGATTTGACAAGTAGGATACCGATTTGTAATCCCAACTTGCTAGAGGGTTTCAAATGCTCTCCCATTCCAGTTGGTTGGATTTAAAAGTGAGATTAGGATTTGAAAATAAATTAAATAAATATTTCTTTTCCTTTCCGGGATGGGTCCAATTTTTAATTTTTCTTAATTTTGAAAAATACTTGTTTTTCACAAGTTTATACAGAATACTTTACAATCATTATTAGAATCAAGAAAAACCAGTAAGGTCTTGGCTCCGACCAGATCACCCCAATGGGTTCAGCAAGTTCTCTAACTTATTATAATAAGAGCAAATTGCGCGAAATGTCACTAAACTATTACAATGTGCCACTTTTGGTCACTAAACTTTTTTATTAGTCAAAAATATCACCGAATTAGTAAATCTATACCGTTTAAATCACCCCGTGTACTTATGCCGTCATGAGAGGCGGAAGTTAATTTTTTCATGGGCAATTTCATCTGCTTGCTTGCCAATTCAATATTGGACAACTAAATGCATATTCAAGTTCCAGACATTTGCCAATGAATCATCCACAAGAACACCACTAGATGGATGAATGATAAACATGAAAAAAAAAAAAAAAAAAAAACATAAAGAAGGAATCACTTGCTGTCAACATTAATGAGCCAGGTATCTACTTGCTTTAATAGTTCTTCCTGTACTTTCTTCTTTTTCAATGCTAGTAAGGCCCCATCTTTCTTCTTTTCACGAAGCAGGTCCCTTGCAGCTTGCTTCTCAGCCTCAATCACATTCTCCAGCTGAAACACTAATGATGATGGAATATCACAAATTATTATGTGCATTTTCAATCACACACTAAATTTGCATTGTTTGATCCTAAATAGTCAGGTTCTTTAACAAACCATCATCTATAGACTCTAAATAATAGAACATGCAGAAGCTTTAAAATATTGAATCTTGAATCTTTACAACACTACAAGCAATCCCTCAAGAAAGAAGGACGATCCATTTACGTTAACAACCCTAAATTTCAGAAATCAAATTGCTAAACATAATTACTTCTTGACCAAGCTTACCTGTTGCTGGTATTGAGCAAGCTTACGCCTTTGGGTCTTGAGGGAGAGGATTGCCCGATCCACCTCTGTTATTTTTGGTTTCTTCACAAATACATTTCCCATTATTCAATCCCCTCTATCCTAAGACCCCCCAAGAAAAGCTAGAAAAATTGATGATTGAAAAGCTGTTTTTCCAATCCAATGAACAGTTATACCAATTAAAAATCCAAACTTTGTGCTTAATAGAAATTCTTGTACAACCAAACAGAATAGAAAATCTAATTATGACAAAAACTCAAAAAATCCCTCAATTTTTGGAAGACCCTAGGAAGAAAAGAAAAGAAAGAAAGAAAGAAAGAAGGAAAAGGCTAAAGCCCAGATGCAATAAAGTTTAACAAAGTGGGTTAGCTGCCGACTCCTGGGTTCTGGTGCTCGGCCGAGACATTTTAGGGACCAATGAGCTCATCTCTTCGCCTTTTCACCCACTTCGCTGCCATTGATCACCTATGCTTCACTACTAATCTTCATCTTTGGCCGGTGCTTTGATTTCCTCACTGATTGCTTTGATTTTGCTAGATTAATGCGTCAACTTTTTTCATCAATTGTTTGCTTTGTCAAAAATATTGCCAACATTTTAAACCCTACTCACCCCACTGTTGGCCTTTCATTGCCACAAAAAACTATGCAAACGAAATCACCCCTCAAAAAATTGCTTTCCGTGTCCTCTGACGACATAAATAGACGGAGTGACCTAAACGGCATTAAATTTACTAGTTCGCTGACATTTTTGGCTAATAAAAAAGTTTAGTGATAAAAAGCGGCACCTTGCAATAGTTTAGTGACATTTCATGTAATTTGCTCTTATAATAACTCCGCAGAGGAGTTTTGGATCTGTTCTGGCGAGTATAGGCCTATTATTGAAGGCCTACAGACTATGATACCAAAACCTTTAAATCCAGTAAGTCATTCTGAATCAGCTAAAACCATGCTTAATAAATTAACCAAAAAAAAAAAGGTCACTCGAAAGTAATTTTGGCCCACAAGATTTAAGACACTAGTGTCATAAGTTTCAAGAACTCAGCTTAAATATTAAAAGTAAATTTTATATACACTGTCAGTGTATACATGATTACGATTGGATGGATGATACACGAGCAAATTTTTTATTTTAAATTCAAATTTTACACATGTGTTATACATCTAATAGTGATAGTGTTTACACTGACAGTGTACACAAGATTAATCCAAATATTAAAACTAAGAGAAAATGACATGTTTCATCCCTCACATTTCGTAAAAATACTCTTTTCATCGCTCACATTTAAAAAGAAGTAAATTTGTCCTTCACATTTAAAAACTCAAGCTTTTACATCCTAGAAATAAATTCTCAGTTGTGAATCAAACCATCTAACAACCCGATTACAAATTTTGGGGATAGAATTGATAGGTCACTTGCAAAAAATATTTCCAACAAATAAATTAAAACAATTAAAAAATCTTAATTAAAACTCATTTGCTTCTTCAAAAGAACGAAATAGTGCTAAAGCTCTCAAGTACTAAATCCTTAGACATATTCCTCTTAGGTCCCAACCCTGACCTCTCCAAAATTTTCCTCGTAAAGATCAAACTTTGTTCACTAAACCACCCACATTTTATTGCTTTCTCCATGCCATATTCCATAGACAGTGAGTATTCGGGTCCAGGTTTGTAGCATGCAAAATCAACTAAGTAGACTTTCCTAGGCCTAGTCATGAAATAAAAGGTGCCTAGGAAAACCATAAGAGCACAACACGAAATCACAGTAACAAGATGGAACCTCAGCCTTTCTCGGAACAGAAATAAATCTTCTACCTTAATAGTACTCGAAAGATGAACTGAAGCGATCGCTAAAAGAGGAATCAACATTAGATACACAGCATTGGAGATTAGATAATGGTACCCAAGCTTAACATATTTAAGCTTAACAGATAGAAGAAAATTAGGAACATCATTCTTGTTAGTTTCAGCTAAATTCTCTACCCTTTTCTCATCCGCCCCCATGTTTTGTTTTTTCTCTAAATCGAAAGTAGCTACTAAAAAGCTAAGGGTTCAAATTAATGAGCACGAACTTGCACTAATGTGTGAAGCTTAGAGTTCTTTAAACTTGCAGAAAAGGGAAATTAAATGGTAAAATTAAACTCACAAGAATTAAGAGAAAATGAAAAATTGACTTAGTACGATGTGAAACTGGAGAGTGATGTCTTCCAAAGTGAAGGCAAGTTAGAGTATTTATACCGTCTAGCCGAGAAGCGAATGCCAAAAAAATTCAAATGAGAGATTAAAATGAAGATGATAAAAATTTATATCTATCTGGCTTCTGTATTGCAACTGGGATACCAGACGCTGATCCCGTTGGCAAAGATTCTTCATGAACATAATGGATAAAGAACGGTAAAAACCGCGATTAATTGTTGAACTGGAACGTTTTCTTAATACAAGAAAATCAGCTCTTAAGATGCGTGCAGATTTCCTTGTTTTATAAAACAAACTATTAAATATCAAAAAATTGAAGAAACATGTGCTATTGTAACAGTGGATGGATATAAAAACTGGCGGAGGTATTATATCAATCTATTCTGAATTTGTGATTATTGAAAATCGGTCCTCAAGATCTATCTGATCTGATCTCCTTTCTCTAAGGTGAATTCTATCAATTGTAGTATAAAAACAAACAAATTCTTTAAGAAATATCTGAAAGATGATAAAATCAGTCCGACAAAGATTTGGGATTTCCCTTCTTCGTTTTTTTTTTTTTTTTTGGTGGAGAACTTTTGTCTAGCCTAACCATTATTGCAAATAAGTTTTGTTTAGATATGTCTGGCATTTTTTATATGTACATAATAGCAAGACAGTGGCGTATATTATTATAGTGGCAGACCCTTTTTTTTTTTTTTTGTGTGGATCAAGTGACCCAATGGATTCTCAAATTCAGCTTTGGAACCAATTAGATAAGGATCACGATTAACTAGGGTCAGATCAGGTATCTTAATTAGAAGATGCAAAAGGAGCAGGAAAAAAAAAAGATTGAAAAAGAATAGGAAAAAAAAAAAGAAGAAGACGTAGCTCGAGGCCTTGCGCCAAAATTGAACGTTTAACATTTTCTTTTTTGGTAGATAGTTTAACGGAAATACATTGGTTGTAATTCATGAAAAATGGCTTTTTTTTTTCTTGATGTTTTAGATCGTACAAAAATAGATCTGCAATTTTCTAAAGTCTATATTTAGATTTAAAAAAGGTCTATATTTAGATTTAGATGCGAGTGAAAGAATCGGATTATTCACATGCATTCCAGCGCTGGTTAAGCACTACAATGCGTCGAACATATTAAAATTGAAATCATGGGTTTTGCACATGGACTTATTGGAAAGTTTTTTACATAATTCTCGAGTATTCTACTTGTTTTTAGTTGTGACACTTATAATATTTTCTTATACAAGTGAAAATGCTTTCCCAAAGTAAAACATATAATGTGATAAGTTAGTACTTAATCTGTAAGAAGGGATTAAAAGAAGGAGGTCATGAATTCAAAACCTTCCACTTACAAAATATATATATATATATATAATGAAACAAGGTCAGAATAAAATGAAGATTAGTTTATATATTTGTTACTATAGAAAGCTTATTTTGAAATCTAGAAAAAACTTCAAATTAATTGCACTATAAAATCAACTTGCGTTAAAAAAAAAAAAAAAAAAGGAACCATAAAATCAACCCAAAAATTTCTAATGTTAAGAGAATTCTGCCATTTTGCTTCTCAATAAATACCATATATATGAGAATAAAGTACTATAAAAAAACAAGTGGGCCTTGAACACTTTTGTTCTTTTAAGTCGAGTTAATTCAGACCTTCGCGTTGAATTTGACTGATAGTAACCAATAACAACAACACTTTGCCATCATCAAAGAAGAAGATAGTTGGCAAAAAGCAATCACCAATAAAGATAGTGATATCTAATTGACACAAATATCTTGCAGTCAACATATATATATATTTATTTAATAATAAAAGTTTAGACCTCAAAAATTAACAATATTGGGTTTAAATTCCGTTTCTTCCCTTTCCATTGCTTAAGTTAAATCTCACCCTTCTAAAAAAATTTTAAAAAATAAATAATTTTCTCAAAAGAATGTTATAATATATATATATATATATATATATATATAGACACACGCACATATATATTTTGCTCACTTGAACGATGTTCACACACGTAAACATGTGGGTAAAAGGTTTGAAGTTAATGAAAAGGTAGGTGTGGTGTTTTATATTCAAACAAGTCGGGCTATGTCTACAGGTCCAATCATCTTCACATTTAAAGCTTTCGTAACTAACTGCTTTACGCCATTTTCCTGTTCGAACTAAGTCAACCGCAAACTCCTCCTTTGGCAAACTTTGTCGAGCTTCCAAACAATTAATTATGAATTTTCAAAGCTCGTAGATTTACCGGCGATGTTATGACCCCATCCATATTGATTATATTCATACATCATTTTGACCTTTTGTTTTCTTGGATGGAAGAAATAAGAGTTAAATTTCATAGAAAATTCACAAGTCTTCTTATTGAATTGATTTATATCCATTGTTGGCTTCCTTTTCGCTTTCTGTTTCTGCTTAACGTACACTTCATGTATGGCCCTAATAATTAGGGCAAATTATCCATTTGGCCCTTGAACTTTTAGTTTAAGTAAAATTAAGCCCTCTAGCTATTTATAGTCAACTTTTAGCCCTTAAACTTGTAAAATTGGAAACCCGTGGCCCTTTTACCTGGTTTATCCGGTTTTGCAACCGGAAAGAAGGGCATTTTTGTCCGCATCTTTTAAACAAAAATGAACAACTCCATCTTCTTTCCTTTCCCTAACCCAACCAAATAGGCACAGATTTCTAGAGTTCTTAAGCTTCTGCAAATTGGGGAGAACTGAGTCCGACTCTAAGCAAAATTTTTAAAACTGCCCACTCTATTCTCTCCTGGTTTCCTCATATACTCCTTTCCCCCACTAAAAATCGCATCAATTAACCACTCTTCCTTTCCCCTTTCGTCTTGATTTCTCGATCTTCTCCACGAAATCCAACAAAAATTATGTCCAAGATTGTGAAGAAAACCCCAACAAAGTCCATAAAAAATTCGCGCCACCATCACCACAGCCACCAACACCGAAAAAATCCCCCGTAAAGAATGCCTCCGCCGCTGCTTTAGTGGTGCTTGCGTCGATTAACAAGTCCATTTACACTTGCCACCACCGCCTCATCAAGATTTTTTCCAAATTAGCGCGCATTTCAACTCCAATTAAGAAGAAGAGCCCAAGAAAATAGGGGTATCAGTTACTTCAAAAGGGTTCTGAAGATCCCAAAAGTAGCATCAGAAGAGCTCTGTTTGATGACGAAAAAAGTTCTGCACTTCCACCACTGGTTTCGCCAGAGAAAAACACTGTCTTTCTTGATTTGGACAAGACTCTAGTGCATTCCCAGCCGGGCCCTGCTCTAGAAAAGTATGATTTCATAGTTAGGCTGGTGATAGATGGAGAAAGAGTGAATTTCTTCGTGTTAAAGAGGCCATTTATGGAAGAATTTTTGGAGTTCCTGAGTAATAAATTTGAGATTGTGGTGTTCACAGCTGGAATTGAGGAGTATG